ATGCTATCATTGGTATCAGAGGCAGGTTATCCTAGTGTGTAGATCGTAGATCGGGGTAGAAAAGTGAAATAGAATTAGAACCGAAACCCTAACTCTAAGGAAGAAGACCGCCGTCACGCAGGAAGAAGACCGCGCCGCGCTTGCTTTGGCGTGCGGGAAGGAAGCCACCCCGAACTGTCGCGTGCGTGTGGGGTAAGAGATAGAAAGAAGGAAATGAACGAATCGAATCAATGTTTTATTTTTCCAGAAACGACGACGGCTCGCCGGATTTGGACCGACGGTCGCCGGTAGCAAGAACAGTGACTCCAGTGAGTCAAACCCTAACCCTAACTTGACTTAACCCTAACCCTAATCCTAATCCCCAATCGAATGAAATCCGAGAAGAATAGAGAAGAAGATCCAAAAGGAGATGCAGAAAAGGAGAAAGGGGAAGAGGGGAAGGGGCCTACCTCGCGCGTTGCACTGTGCTGCCGCCTCGTCGTCGCGCGAGAAGAGGGCCGGTGCTCGTCGGGCTCTGGCCAAGGGGGGCGAGTTTAGGCCGCTCGACGGTGGCGTGCTCACCAACTGGGGAGCACGCGTGCCGGCGAGGGGGCTGGCGACGGCGCCGTCATCGCTCTCGCCTCGCTCGGTGTCGCTGCCCAGGCTGAGAGAGAGAAGGGAGAAGAAAGAATGTCACTAGGGTTTCGGGGAGGGCGACGCGGCGCCGGTTTTGATCGGCCGAGATCGCCGTGCGACCGTCGGATCTAATCCAATGGCCACCAGAGAACAAGCTGCTTTTTGGCCTAGGCGGGCGAGGGCACGAGGCCGCTTTCCTAGCCCAGGCCCAGGTTGCGGCCTGGGCGCGGGGGAGCGCGCGGCACAGGGCTCGCACGGCCGTGGGCTGTGGGCCGGTTTCGCGTTTGGGCTGAATTGCCAGTAAAGGATGAAGCCATTTTTTTCCCGTAAAAGTTTTATTTCCTGGGAAATGGATAAATCGCTTAAAGAAAATAGAAAAGAGATTTTTTCCTGTGGGCAAAATTCATTAAATTGAATTATTTTTCCGCTGCGAAGTTTAATGTTTATTATCTTTCAATTCAATTCGAACCAACGGGAGAATTTAATTTGAAGAGTAGTTATATTTGGAAAATTATGATTATGTTGATCCTCTAATTAAATTGGAACCAACGGGAAAATTTAATTAGAGGAGTAGTCCATTTTTGTTTATGTAAGATTATGATATTGTCATTTTCTGACCAACGTTGATGATGACAATATTATAACGAATTTAAGTTTGAAGTTTAAATCTCTGGAAAAATTTACACCAACGTGGTGAATTTTTTAAAGAGTAGATAAGGACCAAGAAATGCTCCTGAACTAAAAGAATGTATTTCATTTAGTTTTCGCTGCAATAAAGTTGATTATCTTTAATTAAATTCGAACCAACGGAAGAATTTAATTTTGAAGAGTAGTTATATGTATTTCAAGTTGATTTATGAGTTCTATGCATTAATTCTATTTTCTATCCAACGGTGATGTAGAATTGATGCAGAAGCACCTTGTATGTTTTAATTCGACGAGATCACTCGGCTGCATGCCAACGGGCTACAATGCTGGAGTATGTGAATGAAAAGGCTTGAGACAAGCCAGTTCAGAATAATTTTTTATTAGTTTACTAATTTTCTGATTAAATTAGAACCAACAGGAAGATTTAATTGGAAAATAAAGTATAAGTGAAATTTTAGTCGTCATGACTAAGTTTTCGTATAGATGTATCCCGCATGGGGAGAAGTTTTGGCATAGTAATTATGGTAGTCCATCCAGCATGGCGGGAAAAGTTTTGTGATGATTCACATATTTTGTATCCCGCATAGCGAGAGAAGTTTAGGTAGCTCTTATGCTGTCCTAGTATTGACCTTGGCATAATAGAAATGCATAGTCATGGTCAATACTAACCAAAAGATAAGAAAATATGCAAGTGTGACTTACAAAAGTATTGCTAATGAAAGACCCCGTTGAGTTCTTAAAGTGAATTAAGAAAAGTGTACTCCTAAACGGATCAAGAAATAATTTTGTTTATATGACACAATCATATGAATGAAGTAAGTTATAATTGTCTCCCCGTTTACAGGCTTTCTGAATAGTTATCAAAATTATGGCAGTAAAGTTCGTGCCATATTTCGAGGAAGAGAATATAAAGATCAATTAAGAAAGATACTATTCATTAAGAGTGAGATAAAGATTAATTAAGATAAATGTGACTGTCGGAGGAGTACAACGGTTACAATAATGATACCCCTAAGCCGAGAAATAACTAAATTCATGAACTTTTTAAAGTTCCGATAGGAAAATAGCGTAATCAGTCTCAAAGATGTTAAGGTGGTGCTTAAAGCGCCATATGAGATTTTAACAGATTAAACCCAAAATAAGATATTTGAAGATACACTATCTTTAGAAAAGATGGAAAGATCTGGGGAAGCATGGTATGTAGAGGTAGTAGAGACCTAAGACTTGAAGAGAAGAGGGACTATGTGCCCACTCCAGTGACTCAGGAGCAACAAGTTTATCAATACCGGTTGATGTTGTATGACCAATAAAACACCTGTTGTTAGCTCTTCGAAGAAGATGAATAATGTAAATAAGGATCTTGTTATATAGGAGCCTGTAGAATCAATTGTCTCTTGGTAATGAAGAGCAACAACAGCCCATATGAAAGTGTCAGTAGCTGAGGCCCTAGAAGGTCTCAAAGAATTAGTAAACCAGTTTTCTTATGACTATAAAGTTTATGTTAGTAAAGAAATTCAAATGGAGGGTGATCCCACCTTATTTGAAGAAGCCATGAGAAGCGTTTACTCATTTAAATGGCAAGAAGCTATGGAAGCTGAAATGAATTCGATGAATACCAACGATGTTTGGGACTTAGAAATAATTTCTAATGAGCCAAAATAGTAGGCTGCTAATGGGTCTATAAGACAAATTATGACTCCAAAGGGAATGTAGAAAGATATAAAGCACAACTTGTAGCAATATGCTTTACGTAAAGAGAATGAAAGATTATAATGAGAGTTTTCTCTCTAGTCTCATGCAATGACTCTTTTAGAATTATAATGGTGTTCATGGCACATTACGATTTAGAAATACATCAGATGGATGTAAAGACGGCATTCCTAAACGGAGATTTATATGAAAACGTTTACATGGCATAACCCAAAAAGTTTTGTCATAGAAGAAAAGAACATATGGGATGCCGCCTATAGAAATCCATTTATGGGTCAAAAGTAAGTCTCTATACATTAGTATTTGAAGTTGATGAAACAATGATAAGAAAGTTTGGGTTTTAAAGAAAATAAGAAGGACAATAGCGTTTATGCAAAGCTCAAGAATGGAAAATTCACTTTCCACATCCTGTGAATAGATGACATTCTACTCATTAGTAGTGATGTTAATCTATCATTGGAGAAGAAGAAGTTTTGTCCTCAAGTTTCAATGTGAATGATCTTGGTGAAGTGTCATTGGTTCTAGGAATCAAAATTCACCGAGATAGAAGAAAATAGAGTATTAGGACTATCATAAATGCATACTTAGAAAAGATTCTAAAGTAGTAAAGTATGCATGTGAGTAAACCTACGCCTGCTCCTATAGTCAAGGGTAATAGTTTTGGGAACTTTAAGTGTTCCAGGAACCAATTTGAGATCGATCAAAAAAACATGGTTCCATATGCTTCAGCTGTTAGAAGCTTGATGTGTGTATAAGTACAAGTAAGAACTTACTCTGACGTAGTTTATGTATCTGGGATATTTTGGCAGAAGTCCAGTTCAGATATAGATCACTGGAATAGAGTTAAAAATGTCTTGCAATTATGCAAAGTATTATAGGCCTCATGCTGAGTAAGAAAGAACAAGTACTCTCAAATAGTTGAGGGTACAAAAGTTAAGTCTTGGCGAGATATGTAGTGAAATCCACAGCAGTTGCTAACACTCGCAATTGGAGTATTATTGTGGAAAAGCTCTAAAGAAATAGTTGTGGTGTCATCAGTAATGCATACCATAGTATAGCTTGACATGAGGCTTAAGGAACAGGCAAAAGGAGGTTAGGGAAATTTGTACCCGGATTTAATAATGGTAGACAACATCAATAACCATTTAAAGTAAGTTAACTCCTAAGACAACAAGTCAAGTGTGCTGCCAAACACATTGACACTAAGGTATATGTTATAAAGGAGAAAATCTAGAATCATGTTGAAAGCATTGAGCACATAAGTACCGAGTGAGTACTTGCGGATCCGTTTACCAAAGGCTAACCACCCAGTGTGTTCAGAGAACACACAATCGACATGGGTTTATAGGAAAGCCTATGATTTCAAGATACTAAGGGCCTAGTTGAGTATCTGTTTCAAAACAGAGAGGTGTGTTGTAGTTGTTTAATCTAATGGCAACAGACCGTGACGATGAGGCATGCTCTATGCACTGATCTGTGATGGAATAGGAACAAGATAAAGTAAGTTAAGTTTAAGGAATCAGATGAGATCAAGGGGGAGAATGTTAGTTTGATCTCCACCAATTGGGCCCTTAGATCAGCGCCTTGATCGGGGGCGCCCAACCACTCCCGTCACATAGCACTATAAAGGGAGGTGGGGGCCGGGGCTCTACCTACAAGGTTGACCTGAGCCGCTGTAACCCACCCACAGTGAAACGCTAACCGATCAAGAGACGGTGCTGCCAGTGATGGAAAGCCGCCACCAACCTCACCGTCGCCTCTGCATCACCACTACACTGGACTCCACCACGCCGAGTTGCCACGACACCGGCGTCCATGCCGCTGCAGTGCCATGGACCCAACTACGCTAGGGCGAAGTACAGGAATAAGTTTCTCCATCTAAGTAAGAATTTATCCCTTGATCTATGATTTAGAGGTACTATGAGGCTATCACACTTCACTCACGTCCCGCCACCGTGGCCTTGACCCTCCTCACCAACTCCTTCTTGCACCGAACCATGCCATGCATCATCAAGCCAAAAACAATGTCAGATCACACAATTCACATCAATGGGAGTATCTTGCAGCAGATAGATGCCTGATGGCCGGCCGTACCGGAGCAGGTGCCTGTCAAAGGAGGAGGTGGAGAGGAGGCCCTTGTTCTCCTTGGCGCGCCTGATGAGGTAGGGGATGATCTGCTCCACCGGCCCGTACGGCAGGTAATCGCTGACCTGGAACCCAGCGTTGCGAAGGCTCAGCGATAGCCCGTCCGCCATGCCCATCAGCTGCGTGAACTGTAGGTTTCGGTCTCCCTTGGGAATCCCTAGCTCCTGAGCACGCGCCGCCCCCAGTTGGCCTAGCAAGTGGCAACGCACGGTGATGGACTCATCAGTTGGATGCATTGTGAAGAGAAGAGTTGCTTGTCCGGCCAGTTGATGTAAAAGGGCCTGCTTGGACTTTTACCTGACTCCACGTTGTGGGTGGCGAGTGAAAGCTCTAGTTTGGTTTTGGTTAATTGATGAAACCCTAAGTGCTAACCTAGTTTATCAAAGTGATTATGAGATAGGTAGCACTACTCCAAGTGATGAAGCAATGGTGAAGATCATGACGATGGTGATGTCATGGTGATGATCAAATGCTTAAAATTGGAAAAGAAGAAAGAGAAAAACAAAGGCTCAAGGCAAAGGTATAAATTATAGGAGCCATTTTGTTTTAGTGATCGAGGCACTTAGCGAGTGTGATCACATTTAGGATCGATAGCCGTACTATTAAGAGGGGTGAAACTCGTATCGAAATGCGGTTATCAAAGTGCCACTATATGCTCTAACTCATTGTATATGCATTTAGGATCTAGTGGAATGCTAACACCCTTGAAAAATGTTTGTGAAAATATGCTAACACATGTGCACAAAGTGATACACTTGGTGGTTGGCACATTTGATAAAGGGTGGTGAAGTTTGGGTGCAAGGGTAAGAAACTCCACCGGCGCCCTAGATAGAAAAGTTGGAGGTCACTGTAAGTGACCGGACGCTGGCCTCGGTTGGACCAGAGCGTTCGGTCAGTGGCAGCAGAGGGTGCGCATTTCAGTCTTTTTGACCGGACGCTGGGTCACTTAATGACCGGACGTTGGCAGGGTACGTCCGGTCAGTGCTGACGTACACTGACGTGAGGCGCACAGAGGAGACGTTGTGTGACCGGACGCTGGGTGAGTCCGGTCGGGCATGACCGGACGCGTCCGGTCGTGAAATATCGTGTTTGGAACCTTACTGGAAACGGCCGGACGCTGTGATCCAGTGTCCGGTCACTTTCTAACTGACGCGTCTGGTCTTCACTTGACCATTGAGATCGAGCGATCATCGTTTGAAGCCGATGACACATGGCATGCATCGAGCGACCGGACGCTGGGGTCCAGCATCCGATCAATATGACCGGAGCGTCCGGTCACCCCGCGTTGTGCCCAGTGAAGGGGTACAACGGCTCTATTTCGTTGGGGCTTCTATTTAAGCCCCATGGCCGGCTCAAGCTCACTCTCTTGGACATTTGCATTGACATAGCAATCTTGTGAGCTTAGCCAAAGTCCTCCCACTTATCTCCATCATTGATTCGTCATCTTTGTGAGATTGGGAGAGAATCCAAGTGCATTGCTTGAGTGATTGCATCTAGAGGCACTTGGTATTCGTGTTTTGCTACGGATTTCGCTTGTTGCTCTTGATGGTTGCCACCACCTAGATGGCTTGGTGCAGCGGTGGAGGATTGGCACGAGTTGGTGATTGTTCGTGGCCATCTCCGATGATTGTGAGGGGATTTGTACCTTCCCCGGTGGAGCGCCGAAAGGTAACTCTAGTGGATTGCTCGTGTCATTGAGTTACCTCACTTATGGGTAGGTTCTTGCGGTGTCCAATCGTGTGGACGAGGTTTGTGCAACACCTCTTAGCCGCCGAACCATCAAGTGTTGGTCGACACAACGAAGACGTAGCGTGATGGCAAGCACGTGAACCTCTGGAGAAAATCGGTTGTCTCTTGCCTTTGGAATTCTCCCGGTGATTGATTTCATCTTCATCTAGTGATTGGTTCATTCCTCTACACGGTGGTATAATCACCCTACTCACTCTTCTATATTCTGGCAAACTAGTTGTGGCAAGCTCTTTAGTGTAATTAGAATTGAGAGCTTGTTTTGTTATTTAAGTTCATCTAGTGGAGCTCTTTAGTATAGCAAGTTGTGTGTCTAGTAATCATTGCAACTAGAATTGTTGGATAGGTGGCTTGCAACCCTCGTAGAGCTAGAGCAAGTTTGCATTTTGCTATTTGTCTTACTAATCAAATTGCTCTAGTTGATTTGTAGAATTTTAAATAGGCTATTCACCCCCCTCTAGCCATATCCGTTGTAGCAGTCGTGGGTCTCCTGGATGCTACCGTGGATGGGTGACGGCACGCCGAGCGCCGCCATGAGCCGGGTCTCGCGGGTCAGGTACGTGCCGCGCACGACCTTGAGCCCCAGCTGCATGCGCTCCCGCTCCACGCCACGCACCATGGCCTCCAGCCGGTCCCGCATGTCATGGAGGTATGCCTGGATGGTGCCGTGCACAATGGGACGCTCGCTGTCCGCCGCGCCGGCATCGTTGAACGCCATCGCGCCCACGAAGGTGAAGTAGTCGATGGCCGGCTGCACCATCACGTACTCCACGTCCACCAGCAGCGGGGTGCCATGCTCCACGCACAGCGCGCACAATGCTAGCAGCCGCTCATGCGCTAGCTGCAGCTCCCTCTCCTCCTCCGCGGTCAGCGCAGGCGGCTCTGACGTGGTGAGGTGGAGCGGGCTAGAGTCCGACAGGATTAGGAACAAGTGCGTCTTCCATGGTAGCTTGAACGACGGGTGCTTCTTCTGCCACCGAAGCAGGTCGCTTGTCTTCTCCAGCAAAGCGATAGGGCAGAGCGCCGTGATCTTGATGCACACTCTCGCCTACACGTACGTCACAACAACGACCCGCACGGTCACAAAATTACTCCATTTGATTTGAGCAGTACTTACTTGCTGTATTTATCTAAGTAGTAGTAACACATAACCTCTCTCCTTTTTGTGTCAATAAAAATTAAAATGGGATAGAAATGCAAAATCTCTGAGGTCTAACGCAGTGATTCGGAATGTGTAAATAAGGAAGATTCCGCTCCGGTCGTGTCGTGTAGGGTTTTGGAATTTTGTGTGAGATTTTGAGGCTGAAATGAGCGGCGCAGACAGGGCGAGCGTGACATGCTAAAAATAAAATCATCAGCTGGTTTTAAGGGCCCACAAGCAGTGACTGAATCAGCACCAGCTAGCTAGACAGTCAGGCGATTCACTAGGCAAGGCAGCCTACTACGAGAAGATTCCCATGGAATCCGAGGGTCCGTCCACTCGCGCAGACAACAGACGGCACTGAAGATTCCGTCCGATGTGGCAGCCTCCCATGCCACCACCATGCAAGCCACGGAGGAAAAAATTGAAGAGGCGGAAGAGTAAGCGGTGACGGCGACTCACCGAGCCCGGAGGCAGCGCGGCGGCGATGTCGACGGCGGAGATGAACCTGGCGGTGTTGTGGTCGCACACATCGCCGTCCTCGATCCCGGAGTCCAGGATCCTGCCCATGCCTCTGCGACATAGCCGGTGACCACCACGGCCTCGTTCGTGGTCTCGCCCGCATGTAATCGCCCGTATGCCGTGGCCTCGCTCGCCTAGCGTTGCCGGTGACGCATGGCCGCGGTGGTATACGCCCATCAATGCCCACGGACAGCGCGCGCTTAGCAAGCGGCGAGCGTGTGCGCAATAAATGTCGACATCGGCTCCCCCACGAACAGCCGCCCGGTGTCCTCGAACTGCAGCAGCAGGCCGCGACCACCTGCTCTGGGAGCTTGGCGGCGACGAAGGTGGACAGCGCGAGCTTCGTGACATGGGAGGCGATGGCCATGGAAGGACCGCCTTGCTTGTGAGATCGAGCGGCGCGAGCGAGAGAACGAAGAGCGGCGGCGACGGCGCTCTCTTCGGAATGAGAGAGAGAGAGAGAGAACACGGTTGTGGTGTGCAAACTACACAGGCAGAGGCAGGGCAGGAGGTGGAGGATGACAAGATTTGTAGTACCTCTAGGTGCAGATCAGTGGGTAGAATTTGACTTAACCAATACCTTGTTAAGTACCTCATTGAGAGGCAGTCGCGGCCATGGCGCCGCCGACAAGGTAGCAGCGATGTGGAGGCATGGTCCAGTGGCGGCGGCGAAGGCGATGTAGCTTCCCGTCGCTTACAACACACCCTCTTGATTGGTCTAGGGTTAGGACATCGGTAGGGCGCTGGCGGCTATGGTGAACCTCGTACCTTGCGCTCCGGCCCCCACCTTCCTCTTTATAGTGCTGCGCGATGGGGCCCATCAGCCAGGAGAACGGCTAGGCGCCCCCGATTAGGGCGTGGATCAAGGGCCCAATTGGCCATTGGGCCAACTTGGTGGAGATCAACCTAACATTCTCCCTCTTGATCTTACCTTATGACTTAAACTTAACTTACTTTATCTTTTTCCTATTCCATCACAGATCAGTGCATAGAGCGTGCCTCATTGTCGTGGTGAGTTGCCATTAGATTAAACAGCTATAATGTACCTCTTTGTTTTGAAATAGATTCTCAACTAGGCCCTTAGTATCCAGAAATCATAGGTTTTCCCGTAAACCCATGTCGACTGTGTGTTCTCTGAACGCACTGGGTGGTTAGCCTTTGGTAAGCAGATCCACAAGTACTTGCTTGGTACTTATATGCTCAATGCTTTCAAAATAATTCTGGATTTTCTCCTTTACAACATATAACTTAATGTCAATGTGTTTGGCAGCACACTTGACCTGTTGTCTTAGGAGTTAACTACTTTAAATGGTTAGTGCTGTTGACTACCATTGTTAAATCTAGGTACATATTCCCTTAATCACTTTTGCCAGTTCCTGAGGCCTCATGACAAGCTATACTATGGTATGCATAATTGATGACACCACAACTGTTTCATTGAAGCTTTTCCACAATAATACTCCAACTATGAGTGTTAGCAACTACCGTAGATTTCACTACACATCTCACCAAAACATAACATTTGTACCCACAACTATTTGAGAGTACTTGTTCTTTCTTACTCAGCATGAGGCCTATGATACTTTGTAAAAATTACAAGACATTCTTAACTCCATTCCAGTGATATATATCTGGACTGGACTTCTGCCAAAATATCCTGGATACGTAAGCTACGTCAGGGTAAGTTCTTACTTGTACATTCATTAAGCTTCCAACAGCTGAAGCATATGTAACCATGTTTATTTGATCGTTCTCATATCGGTTCCTAAAACACTGAAAGTTCCCAAATCTATTATCCTTGACTATAGAAGCAGGCGTAGGTTTACTCGCATGCATACTTTATTTCTTTAGAATCTTTTCTAAGTATGCCTTTGAGATAGTCCTAATACCCCTTTTATCCGTTCCCTTCTTCTTTCTCAGCTTTTCTTCCCGCGTGGCGTCCAATCGATGGCCGGCGGTGGCGACGGGACGGCCAGGCCCCAGGTGGGAACCCCCCTCTCCGTCCTTGCTTCTCTCTCTAGGGTTAGGGCTAGGGTTAGTGTTAGGGTTAGGGTTGGGGTTTCTGATCCGATTTGAATCACTTCTTTCTTGATTTCTTTCCTATTTTCTACCCCAAACTGGATCTACTCACTAGAACCTGGCACTGATGCCAATGATAGATTTCTAGGACCATCTAGGCATAGATCTAGTTGGTAAAACATAACTTAGATAAGGACTTGGTGATGTACCTCGCCGCATGCAGTGGCGGCCATGGCGCCGCCGCGACGTGGCATCGTAGTGGGGCGCGGTCCACTAGCGACACTGATGGAGCTTCCCGTCGCTCATAGCACTCCCCTCTTAATCAAACTAGGGGTAGGCAAGTTCTCCACCGAGTCTAACAACATTTTTTAGTTTTAATCTCTGTCAAAATTTGAATCAACGGGATAATTTTTTTTCAGAGAGTAGATGAGTACAGTAAAATGCTTCTAAAAAGAAGATAAACATTTTTTCATGTCTTCTAATTAAATTCAAACCAACGGAAGAATTTAATTTGAAGAGCAGTTGATTTTGGTTCAGTAAATTATGATTATGTTTATCCTCTAATTTAAATTGGAGTAGTTTAATTTTGTTTATGTTAAATTATGGTATTGTTGTTTTCTGACCAACGTTGATGATAACAATATTATAATAAGTTTAAGGTTGAAGTTTAAATCTCTGATAAATTTTACACCAACATGGTCAATTTTTAGAGAGTATATAAAGACCAAGAAATGCTCCTGAACTAATAGAATGTATTTGATTATCGTGTTTCGCTGCAATGATGTTGATTGTCTTCTAATTAAATTCGAACCAACGAGAGAATTTAGTTTTGAAGAGTAGTTATATGTCTTTCAAGTTAATTTATGAGTTTTATGCATTAATTCTATTTTCTGCCCAACGGTGATGTAGAATTGATGCAGAAGCTTCTTGTAAGTTTTATTTTTTAATCGACAAGATCACTTAGCTGCATGCAAATGGGTTGCAATGCTGGGGTATGTGAATGAAAAGGCTTGAGTCAAACTAGTTCAGGACAATTTTTTGTTAGTTTACAGTTTACACCAAAATTTGGAAGAAGAATCGCAGGAACTTGAAAGCTCCCAAGATCATGTCATCAAGGAATCAATCGCGTGCAGGTCGGTATCAGCTGATTCGAATGCAACACTGGAATCGGCTTTCTTCAGATAACGCCAGCAGATAACGACAAAGGCTACGATCGGCGCCGGGACAAAGCATGTTGGAGTCTACAAAAAGGGAAAGATTAGAGTCCAAGTTATCTTAGATTAGGAATGTTTTCTCTAGGGCCAAAGATTGTGATGGGTCGTTCTTAGATAGGAGTCATGCGTAGGTCCCGGGTATAAATATCAAACCCCGGCTATTGTGAAAGACACACAATCAATCCAATACAAGTTACTTACTTTTTTCAGCTCCGGCCATCCCTCAGGAGTAGGAGTAGAGTAGATCTCGGCAAGTTCTTCAGCGAGTACGGCTGCATCGATCCGGTCGACCTCCACTGCTTGTCTGTAAGTACCATCATGGCTTATACTTCTGTTCGTACGGCTGCATCGATCCGGTCGACCTCCACTACGACTCTGGTATAAGTTAGTTATCGATTCTTGTCTAGTTCAAGTAAGGCTGCATCGATCCGGTCGACCTCTACTGCTCGAACTAGATTAAGGTCAAGTTATCGGCTCTATCTAAGGGTGGCGTTCCTTCGGATAGATTCATTAAGTTACCGATATTGCTTATTGCTTCCATTATTTATTTAATTACATCAATATCACTTCGTCCGATTGGGATTGATCTAGATTGGCCTTATATCTTGTTTAACCCATCGTTTGTTAATCTAAATTGATCTAATCTGCACTTTAAATGATGAGTTATGTTTTATCGACTATTTTATATCAATCTTGATCGTGCATAGCGTGCGGTTAAGGCATGTCTGATCTCGAGTAGATCTATTGGCTAGCAAAAACCGTTCCATGGCCCGTTATCACGGCCTGTGTGATTCTGCCTCAGACCCCACTGTTAGCACCGTGGAGTGGGGATCGTTATTTGATAGATCTGTTCCTGATAGGGCATGACCTTAACCGTGCGCTATGCCTGAATCAGCTGTTTTAGCTGATATCAAATGCTTCCACGAACAGTTCACATCATGAGACCGTTGAAGTAGGGCTATGTTGAAAGATGTGTTAGCCCTATGATCTTATTATTGTATTATAGCCTGCATGATTCTGCCTCATGCCCCACTGATATTAGTAACAAGTTAGGGTCATCGAGTCTATTGTTGTTTCTACGGCCTGCATGATTCTACCTCATGCCCCACTGGTCATAGTGATAGATGAGATCTAATATGTTCATTAGATTTATCTTTATTAAATTGTTGAATGACGATGAGCTATTTTTTTTATATAAAAAGAAGTTTGGTTACTTGTAGTCATTGGCTTAGCATAAATTAATCATATTTGACATCCTTTTGCCATTGACCACTATTTGTCTAAACAATGATATTTATCCTGAATGATAACCGATTCTTCTTGCACAACCCCACGAGCTTTAACTGATTTATTCTTATGAATATGCTGGACTCGACTATTTAGTCGATCTCCTTTCATATCGGCTCTCAGAGCCGCACATTCGGGATTGTCTAGCAACACCGGCACGTTCCGCCCTAAATTACAGATAAACTTTCTCTCCTTGTCAATTGTAGGGTCAAATTGACTAGCACGTCTCGAGAGGAGTGCACAGGATCGACCACCCCTATGCTGAAGCTAGGCGGATCTCCAGCTCTATCGAGCGGACCCTTCCGGCTTGCTCGTCTGCCCACAACATGGGACGAAATTTTGTGCTGACACACGTTTCTGGCACGCTCGGTAGGACCCCACAATCATCATGGCGGTTCACAACAACAACGACATCCTTATGGTACATTATGAAGATCTACCTGATGGAGATAAAGATGTCATTGGCAAAGCTATAGAAGAATTTTGGGACAAGTGTTTGTTGTCCTACACCAAAACACGTGACAACAC